CATGACAGCAAATGTACAACGTTTCGACAAGGTTTTGTCATCATCAGGTACCCATTCAAGCCATCTCCAGCCATTATATGATAAACTGTTTTGACATCATAACTTTACTTAGCAATGATAAAAATATAAAAAGTGATACACATGCTCTTTGTGAACATCCTCATAGCTTGAATTAAAAACTGCAACATTAACGAGCTATGGCCAATGAATACCTTCGTTAGTGATAATTAGATTCCCAACAAGACAGTTGGTAATGATTTTTGAAACACTCAAGATATGCAAGAGTGTCATATAAACAAGTGTGCTACATTTCATGCTGATATAGGCAAAGTTTTTAAATCAAGCTACGAGTATGTTCACAAAGAACATGTGTATCAATTTTCACGTTTTTATCATTGCTAAGTAAAGTTATGACATAACTGTGATCAACAGCTTTTCCTCAGCACATATATTTGGCTAAAATCTTCGATCCCTAGACTTTACAAATAATGAATTAAAATTTTTCACATTTTACTAGTAGTTATTTGGAATCTACTTATTAAAATACCAGATTGTGTTAACTAACATTTATAACTCATATTATGTTGATAGCTACATTTCTATTCAATAAACAGAACTTTGATAATTTATAAATTAAATAACAATCAAATTATTAATTAGAATAACAAGTGATCAGTTACTAAAAATAAACACCACAAGTAATGTTTATGTCACGTCAATAGGCCTAATACAATGTGTTTCTGTACTAATTTAGACAAATAGATACGAGTTGTAGGTATTATCCCAAAGATGAGTTATTTAATAATTATCACACTAATACTACAGATGAAACTTATTGTATTATCATTTGTTAAAATTATAGCAAAAAAATAAAATACATTTTATTAACTAGACTATTTATGGTTCAATCACTAATCAACGGAGCCGACAATAGGGTGAAGGCAGTCACTCTGAAATCCAACCGAGTTATGTACCATTACTGATTTAAAAGAATATGATAAGTGCACGATAACCTAAAAGAAAATATACGAGTGGCCTAGTACCTTTTTTCCCAACCAGCGAGTTTGTACACTGATATTGTGACATCGCATGTTTACGAACAATTGTTATTTGACTTATAGACGAGGGCCCTGCAAGGTCAACCTTGTGTTGATATTGTGACATCGCATGTTTACGAACAATTGTTATTTGACTTATAGACGAGGGCCCTGCAAGGTTGATGTTATTTGACTTATAGACGAGGGCCCTGCAAGGTTGATGTTATTTGACTTATAGACGAGGGCCCTGCAAGGTCAACCTTGTGTTCCATGTCTTTTTAACACACTAAAAATCAGAATTTTTTCCTGTTTTATTTATTTCTTAACATAATGAACAGTAGAACAAACTGTGGTTTACACCATACTTACATTATACGTTCATTATATTAACACATTGAAAGATGTTGATTATAGGCACTAACTATCACACTTTTAACAATCTATTAACCCAATACCTAGGGTAATAAACTTGAATATAACACATTTAATCTGAAACCTTTTAAAGTTCTCTCTCCAAAAAGTCAAACTTTCATCATTACTTTACTCAGTTGATAAACATATTTAAGAACCTTGCATGATCAAATAAAAAACAATTGTATAAGTAACTTATAACTGACTCAAAGAATACATTGGAAACTTTGTCACAGTCGAGGAAACTATCAAGTGTGATTGATACGTTACAAACTTTAAATTAAACAAATGTATTTAAGTACAAACATGTATGTAAGGTATAACTTCACCAGACACTCCTCTCCCAGAGGGGATCCTTGGAGTTTGTTTTTTTTGGCAACAATTTCACTTACTTGTATAAGAATATAAACAAATGTTCATAAACTAACAAATGGAATACATTTCTCTTTCAAAATGTTAGAAAGATACACTTCAGGCTTTATGGAAAACTCATCACTAAATCTGTAAAATGTTCTTCTTAGCCGTCATTAAAAGAGAAATATGTTCCACGACGTGTGATACGACCATCACGACATGTGATACTACCATCACAACATGTGATACGACCATCACCACGTGTGATACTACCATCACAATGTGTGATATATGACCATCACAACGTGTGATACAACCATCACGACGTGTGATATACGACCATCACGACGTGTGATATATGACCATCACAACGTGTGATACAACCATCATGACGTGTGATATACGACCATCACGACGTGTGATACAACCATCACAATGTGTGATATATGACCATCACAACGTGTGATACAACCATCACAACGTGTGATATACGACCATCACGACGTGTGATATACGACCATCACGTGATTATCTTTTGTTCACAGGTTTTTTAAATGTATGGAAACTAATACCAATTAAAGACTTCGCAGCCAATTTGTAATTCTACAGAAAAGTAGAAATACATTTTTAAACTTGATAAATATATTACGTCATTCTTTTCACAATGGTTCAGAATTAACAATGGATTGACGTTTAGTGAGGAACTTACTGAACTGAATGATAAAATACAATAACAATTTCTGATTTTAAATCATACTTGAGTCATCATCGGGTAACTTCTACTCGATGATCATCCCATACTGTCGTTTGAGATATTGTAATCTTTAAAACCAGAACTTGCTTACTGTACTTGTATTTTTAAATCACCCTCTCACCAAAATCAGTCTGTTGAAACAGTGTAGCAGTAAACAACTGTTGGGACAATAGTACAACAATGGTTAATTTTAGTTAATTCAACAAAGGAAAAATACAATTTTTTTCAAACAATCATCTGATGTTATAAGAATTACTTTATAAAAATATATTGAATATAAAATGCATAAAAAAATTAGTAATGATGTTTAGATTAAGAAATTAATGACAATATTTATCAGTCTCTGAAAATAAACCTCAAAAATCACATTTTAAATTAAAATAATTGTTCCACAGTACTGTCAATCTCCACATAAACTCTGGTCCCTCAGCTGTTTGTGTTAATGTTTGTCACTTGCTGCTGGAGTAGTTGCTGGAGGGTGGGACTCCTGCTGTTGACCAATCAGTTGGTGAAATTTTGTTTCTTTAAATATGAACCAAAGGCTTGCAGTCCACACAAGGAAATTTGCAAATCCAAATATCTGTTTCAATAAAATACCAAATTTAACATAATTTCAGAAAGACGTGCCAACTGTGCACAGGTGCCACATTAGTGGCATGTCTAATTCTGTAAAATGTTGAGGCTAAGCTCTTTTTTCACACACAAATTCACAATACTTCTTACTTCTCAAGTTTGTGAATGAGTTGGATATCTTTACAATACAAAGATGGTAGAATTTCAAATCACGAGAAACTATACAATTAATAGAAACTGCTAATGTTATTATCAAAATAAGAATAAACTGGAACCTATACTAAATACAAAAAAATGTTAGTTGTAAATTGAAACAAATGTCTTACAAGTTCTATAGTGATCTCGAAGTTGTTCACTCTATTAACAGTGCTGCTTGACCCCACTACTTTCTATAATTTACTGATGTTTTGGTCCATGTTCTTTTTTTCTATACTTTACAAATGTTGCTTTGTTTATTATCTTCTACCAAGGATTTATAAATATTAATTTTTTTACTTAAGTTGTATTTTTCCTTTGTAATCAGAATAATTACATAATAATTCCTAAGTAATAGTAAATACTTGAAAAGTTCACTAGATTAAACCACAAACAATCATGTTATGAAATACTGCGTAGTTTGACAGATATTAGAGCTTTGAAAACAAGTAAGTAGCACATATTCTCCTGTGGCTCATGTATAAGTAAAAACCTCTACAATGTGTTTACAATAATTTCCTGGAGCATATGAGAGTAATATATCCCTATCTGAATAGATACTGTATATGTTAGTTGAATATAAGCAATGCAAAAAGTACAACTCACCAAAGAAACGTTTAAAGAAGCAAAATTTCCAGTGAAGTTTGTGCTACACACACCAGTGTCATTGCAAACAGTTAAATACTTCAAGAAATGGTCAGGGTTTGTATAATACTTCAGATAACTGACTCCACTTGCCTAAGCACTAGACGCTGCCAGCCAAAAAATTGTCAAGACTAGTGATACTACAAGGTCCTGAAAGTTAAAACAAATGTTGTACAATAAATACAAGCATACACCAGGTTTTACAATACCCACTCATGAATAACACCATCACACGAAAGTGGTACTAATATTAAACTACCATCACATCAAAGTGGTACTAATATCAAACTACCATCACATCAAAGTGGTACTGATATTAAACTACCATCACATCAAAGTGGTATTAATATTAAACTACCATCACATCAAAGTGGTACTAATATTAAACTACCATCACATCAAAGTGGTACTAATATTAAACTACCATCACATCAAAGTGGTACTAATATTAAACTACCATCACATCAAAGTGGTACTAATATTAAACTACCATCACATCAAAGTGGTACTAATATTAAACTACCATCACATGAAAGTGGTACTAATATTAAACTACCATCACATCAAAGTGGTACTAATATTAAACTACCATCACATCAAAGTGGTACTAATATTAAACTACCATCACCACTAATAACCTAAAATACTACATTTGTTTGGATAACATTATTATTAAGTTTAATTACACAACAGAACCTGGATATTGGTAGAACTTTCTTACTTATATCTGTAATAAGACATTACTATTAGTTCGTCATCTATTCCCATAGGGATTTAAGTGTATAATACATACTATATTTGTCATATTCATTGCTCTTCGGGCGGGTTGGGACACGATAAACACACTAGTTGTCGGAACACTATTTATATAAGCCATTTGTTACAATGATTGTTATTTTATGAACACTTTTTCCAAGCTGGTGAAGCATGATTATGGTTAATTATACCTATAATAAAACATTAGTGTTAGGTTATTATATTTTTTAAATACTACGTTCATTACTTAGAATTTTTTTATTTGTTGTTAAGCTACACAATGGGCTATCTTTGCTGTGCCCAACACAAGTATAAGCCTGCAGACTAACTTTTGAGCCACCAGAGATGAGTGAAGGAGAATAAATTAGGTCTTTCTTTCAAAACCCAAAAACAGAATTGTTGCTCAAATTGAAATTGTGTTAAGTTCAAACACTGATACCCAGTTGAATTTTGTATAATTTCATGAAACTCAATTTTGCTCTCACACTTGCCAAATACTGTGGGCCTACATCAGAACTAATTGTGTGAACAACTGTGGGCCTACATCAGAACTAATTGTGTGAACAACTGTGGGCCTACATCAAACTAGTTGTGTGAACAACTGTGGGCCTACATCAGAACTAGTTGTGTGAACAACTGTGGGCCTACATCAGAACTAGTTGTGTGAACAACTGTGGGCCTACATCAGAACTAGTTGTGTGAACAACTGTGGGCCTACATCAAAACTAGTTGTGTGAACAACTGTGGGCCTACATCAGAACTAGTTGTGTGAACAACTGTGGGCCTACATCAGAACTAGTTGTGTGAACAACTGTGGGCCTACATCAGAACTAGTTGTGTGAACAACTTGTATTTTGAAAATTTCAGAAAAACAAAGTAAATTTTTAATCTTATACCACACCAAAATAAAAACATTAAAATATGATTTAAAAGTATTTCAAAATGCATACTTACAATAATAGGCAAAAACTGTTTGTTTGAATAGAGTGACCAGAAAAAGATGTAAATGATGAGAACAGCCAAGCTGAACAAGAAGGCCAGCACTCCAGTTGCTACAAAAAATTCTGCACTACTAGAAAAATCCCATGGCAGAGTTTCTATTTTCTTATCACCATTGCAGTCAGTTACACTTAATGGAACATGGTTCAATCTGTACAGAGAAAAAGGAGTGTGTGAAATTTACAAACCTTACACAACTTGTGTCTAATACATTTCCGAGTTCAATGGTATTTATTGAATTATGAAATACACCTTTCAGGCAGAGTTTACACTAGTATTTTTAAACAAATAATTACAGAATTCTGTTTCTCCTATTAAAAAGAAAATATTGTAAATCTCACAACAGAAACATAGAATGAAATATTAATTCCAAATATTCTTAACTAAATTAACCTATATATTCAAGAATTGTCATCCAATAAGTGTAAAAAAAAAACTGTCGCACTTACAAATGTTTCAAACTTATTATCTTAAAATCAATATTACTGTTCAGTTTAACCAATCTTATTAAGCCCTGAATATTTCTGTAGCTATTCTCTAAAAAAACACTTCAAATAGTGTCAGATATATTACTCAAAGGCCTTAACGTATTACTTTAGTTTGTAGCAGTTACTATAATGGTTCGGAACTTCCCTATCTGACAACATGCTCTGCACTAAACTATAACTACAGGAGACAGCAAGGTGTTGACAAAGCCCACACTCAATTTTAACTCAGTTCAGTCTGTAACATTTTAATGAACCTACATCCTTAATGATGGCTAGATAAGCTAGTAGGGACAATATGGTGTTGACAAAGCTCCACCCTCAATTTTAACTCAGTTCAGTCTGTAACATTTTAATGAACCTACATCCTTAATGATGGCTAGATAAGCTAGTAGGGACAATATGGTGTTGACAAAGCTCCACCCTCAATTTTAACTCAGTTCAGTCTGTAACATTTTAATGAACCTACATCCTTAATGATGGCTAGATAAGCTAGTAGGG